ATTATGAGAGTGTATGACTTGAACTATTATATACACACATTCACAACAAATCACTTCTCTTACCATATGCTGAATTTTAAACACGCAACAATTTTGAAACAAAAGCTTATCAAACACTTATCTAATTGTTCTTATAACTGATTATTTAGCATATCTAGAACTGATTCTTTTAAAAGCACTAAAAATTCAAAACAAGCCTGATTGCTAAATAAATTATAACTCATTTATTAATAATTACATCTTCGAATGGGCCCTACTTGAGACTAACCATCTAAAGTCAAGTAAATTGACACAAGGGTTAAGATCAAGACTTAGGTCAAGTGGTAAGAAGAAAACCTTCTTAAAAAGTTTGTTCGAGTCTCCATCAGGGAAATGGCGAACTCCTTTAATCCACAGCGGAAAAAATAATTGAATAACACTTCAGTAATACTTGCCAAAGAGCTAAATGTCCTGTCACATTCAATTCATGTGCTGTGAGAAAAACAAAAATGTCTTTATTGAGGTGCTGTCACCTAAAGGGTGTTTGGAAAGGGGGAAAGGTATGTTGGAATGCGAAAGCGGAATTAATCAGAAATTAAAAGTTTCTTTAATTTAATAAACAAGATCGTCTAGATGTTCACGTGTGTGTTATAACAAAATTAAAGGATTCAAATCTTTTACCTAAATTCAATGATCAATCTTGAATTAACTCTGATCTGCGAACTTCCGTCTCCTTTAATTGCAAAAATCTTGGTGTTTCAAGCTTTCAAGCGTTCTATGGTATTCTCCAACGCAAAGACTACACCGGTGTGTGGACACCTTCTTTCAATTAATCCAGAAATTAATTCTTGAATTTTGGACAACAAGAAAATAATATATTTTCTCTTTCTTTTTCTCTCTACAAATTTGAATCTTATGAAATTATGAATGTTGTAGTAGTTTTCTGTCCATCTAGTCTCTATTTATATAGAAAAAGATTATAAAATTCTAATACAATTATAATTTCACATTCAAACAAGAGTTCTAATTAAAACTCAAGTAGGAGTTCTAATTTAACTCCAATTCTAATTAGTTTACATTTAATTGCACATGTAATCCTAGAACTTTAATTACAATTACAATTAAGTTGATAACTTTCATAGTAATTACAACCAAGTACAAAATTTTATTGTAATTATAATTAAGCCTAAAACTATTATAATTACCGTAATTAAGTTCCAATACTTTATGGAGCTATCACAGGGACCTGATCAGACATATATTTTCCAAGCTCCAATAATTAGATCCTGTCTAATCGACCCTAGACCACCCAATTTAATTATTAGTCTTTACTTTTCCCACTAAAGGTAAAAGATTGAACTCTCGGAATATATAAGATCACAGAAATCAATAAATCTATAATGCTTTCCTCTGACATGTTGTATATGTATTTTATCCCCGTTTGAGATTCAATAATTAGGTACGAGCATAAATGACCGTTATTCTCACTAACTTAAATTTCATTTTCTTCAACAGTCCTGTGAACAAATCACAGATATCGAAGTTTAGCTGACGCTAAACATTGAGCTCATATTTTAACCATTCAACAGAAAATATATAAGTAGTCACTCTACCCATTTCAGGATAGTGATGGCAAAAAAAAACCTGCCCCGCCCTGTGAATTTTTTTTTCATTTTTAAAATTTCAAGTTATATTATTATTAGATAATAAAATACAAATGTAAAATTTTAATTAATTACAAAAGAAATAAAATTTAGTCAAAACGTAATATTATTTGAAATTGTTTAATTTTTAACATTATTTATTTCAAGTGTTTACTTTGAATTTTAAAATTTTGAATTTATATTTTATTCTCTAATAATAACATAACTTTAAATTTTAAAAATGTAAAAAATAAATAAAATAAATAAACGAGGCGACAAATGGGGCAAGGCGCGTTTGAGGCAGGACGGGTGGTGGGCCGCCCCGCCCTGCCCTGAACCCGCCCCACTGCCATCCCTATTTCAGGATGACGGTTCCCGACACGAATTCATGTTCTCTACTTCGCTCATTCTTAAATTCCCAACTCATCGAGATATTTGACCAATCAAATTGATCTCACCCATTGATGAACCAAAGAACAATTAAAATCGCGAAAAAATATACATAATCCTGTCAAAGGATCCAAATGAAATACACAGCGGTCAAATGGAATTTAATTCTCCACACTGTCATGCTATAGAATTATCTTTGACACGTGGTTCATTCAATGCACTCCAAGTATACTAGTGTCACATTTAACTATTTCTATGATAAGGACAAATCACAAACCTAAATAGTGAATTGGTCAACACTACAACCTTCCAATATAAGGTGTCAACCCTTATACATTGGTTGTGAACAAATTATTTATGATCAAAATATAAGTTGTGTCTCACTGTACTTCTCAACGCAAGTACCCAACTCATATTATGACAAGTGATCACAGGCACTTTAATTTCGCATGCTCAATAATAAATAAAGTAAACATAATTTTATTCAATATAAAAACTATAATTATTATTTTTACATCAACAAAACTATACTATATGGGTACACAACCCAACAAGGTGCATCTACCATCCTAGCGAAACGCAGCATGCCTAGGATATCCCATGGACAAGATAGTGCCTTTGCTACCATCGTATCTTGTGGACATCTCAAGTCGACACTGTCAAAGCCACTGACCATGTGAACAGGTCAATGGCTAAGATCGGTAGTATGGAAATATATTTAAGCAATGTACTGCATCTACAAACACCTCTATTCACAAAATAATTGCAACAATACCAAATTTATCAAAGCTGAAATGATAAAGCTAGATTTTTGTATGTACATGAACGAAAAGAATTTGGTACATGAAGAAACTTTTCCAACAACAAATGGTAAATTTTATGATAAATAGAAAGCAAAGAAATCACAGTTACTTGCACAAGAATATGAAATCCAATCCCACAATTTTTTCCTTCTTTTATTGATCACACTGAAGTCTTCTCAGAAATTCATATGGCTAAATAGTTCATACAAGCATCACTGGTTTTGTAGTTTTGGTGAATGATGTGGTGTTGGTTTACCAATGAGGCCTTGCCCTGTTATTTAAGATGAGAAAAGAGCTTAGTAGCAACCTGTATGCCACAAAAGGAAAAAGGGAATATTCAGCAGCATATCTGTATAAGAAAATGTCAATATCTGTCCACACAATTCCAATAACCAAAGTATTGCCCAGTGCAGTACTTCTGCCTAGTTTCATCGCTTTGAATCCTTTTAGAACATGCTTGTCAAACTTCATTGGATTAGCATTTGCAATTGACAAATCTTTCTTAGACAATTGCATAAGCATGATAAAAAGAATAGCACTATATAAACCACACTCCATGTGCATGTGAACCAAAAGAACATACATGCACGTCACACAGTGTGCATAGGGTGGGGTATTGAAAAGGCCACGATTATCAGTTTCCAAGACAACTAGAAGGCATATTGTTCATGTGAAACCTGCAAGCGTAGGGGATTTTAATGAACAAGTTTTTGGCGCCATTGTCGAGGAGTAACTGTGTTAATTTTAGTTATTATATAATTTAGATTCATTTTTATTTTTATTTATTTTTAGTTGTTGTTTTTAGACTACCATTACACCACTTAGTTTTCTTGTGTCTTGATACTTTTTAGGCAACTTTAGTTTATGAAAAATCCTGATGAGTCAGATCTTTTTTCAATAGACCACGAAATCGAAAGGGCATTCAGAAATCGTAAAAGAGTTCAACTTCAAGCAAGGAGAATGCCTGATAACCAAAATCAACCACAGAATTAAGTTCAGAAATTCACGATGAAATTCTTTCCACCTTCTCGAGTCCACCAAATCAAGAATGATGTCTACACCTTCAAGTAAAAAGATCTCGAGAGCTATCCTAAGGCATGGAAGAGGTTCAAGAATTTTTTCAGAAAATGCCCCAGCATTGACATTCTCAAAGAAGCTCAGCGGTATCTTTTCTACTACGATCTAAAACAAGAGTTCAGAAATATGATAGATGCTTCAGCATAAGGATCAATGATGAAATTTGATGTGGATGAGACATATGACCTGTATGAAAAAATAGCTGAAAACCAATCAATGTGGCCAACTGATAGGGAAGTCCCAAGAAAAACATTAGGATTATACGACGTGGATGTAGTGACAGTACTGGCCGTGCAAATGGAAGTTCTTACAATGAAAATGGACAATCTATCTAAGTCAATCAACATGGTACACCAATCGCCACTTGTTTGCGAATGTTGTGGAGCGGATCATGCTAGTACACGCTGCCCTTTGGCGTCAACACATGTTAATCAATCCGAAGAAGTAAGCTACGCGCAGAACTTTCAGAGACAACAAAATAATCCTTTCTCCAACACATAATTCGGGTTGGAGGAACCACCCAAATTTTTTATGGTCCAATAATTAGGTACAAGAACAAGGAGGAAACAATCAGAATAAACCACCAGGCTTCCAACAGCAACAACAGCAAGGGAGAAAGCTATCGTAGGAAGATTTGCTGGCTCAATACATTACTAAAATTGAGACCAACTTTCATAACCAACAAGCCTCGATCAAGAATTTGGAACAACAGGTTGGACAAATTGTAGTCACACTATCAGGTAGAGCTAAAGGGACATTGCCTAGCAATACTGAAACAAATCCTAAGGAGCGGGTCAAAGTAATCACTATGTGTAGTGGCGTCCAGTTACCAGAAATACATGTAAAGCGGTCAACAACTACCATAGAAAAGGCATCTACCATGGGCGAGGAGCAAGTGGATAAATCAGACAAAGTCACAGAGGAAAATCAAGTTGAGTTATCAGATAGTCTACAGGTGAAAGCAATTGCTCTTGTCAAAGCATATGTTCCTCCGATCTCATTTCCACAGAGATTGCAAAAACATAAGCTCGATAAGTGATTCTAGAAATTTTTGGATGTGATCAAGAAACTGCATATTAATATACAATTTGCTGAAGCTTTAGCTCAAATGTCCAGCTACGTCAAGTTCATGAAAGATATTCTATCAAATAAGAGGAAGCTAGAGGAAAATGAAACTGTCATGCTTACTAAGGAGAGTAGCGCAATTCTCCAACATAATTTACCACTGAAGTTAAAAGATCCAGGGAGTTTTACTATTCCTTGTAACATTGGTAATTTATATATAGATAAATCATTGTGTAATTTAGGAACTAGCATTAATTTAATGCCCTCATCTCTTTTCCGAAAACTAGGTTTGGGGGAAGCAAAGTCGACAACAGTTTCACTGCAGTTGGCTGACAGGTCGATCAAGCACCCTCGTGGTATTTGTGAAGATATTTTGGTAAAGGTTGACAAGTTTATCTTCCCAGCGAACTTCATTATTTTGGATATGGAGGAAGATAGGGGCGTCTCCTTCATATTGGGTGGCCCATTTTTGGCTATGGGAAGGGCTCTAATAGATGTGCAAAAATGTCAGTTGATATTGAGGTTAAATGAAGAAGAACCGACAATCAACATATTTAGAGCTTTCAGATTTCAGAGCGTTCAGATTTCAGAGCGAATAGGATTCTTACATGCAGATTGATGTAATAAAAAAAGATGTGTCAAAGACATTCAAGCTGGATCACCCTCAGGATCCACTTGAGGCATGTTTAGTGCATTCTCAGGATTTACCATCAGAAAATGAGGAAGCAAAAGAATGTGCACGTTATTTGGCAGCCATACCACCATTCTTCAAGCAACCACATTTGGAGCTCCGTGAAAGACCCGCAACACCTTTACCATCTATATAGCAAGCTCCAACTCTTGAACTCAAGCAACTGCCCACTCATCTTTGCTATGCATACTTGGGAAAAAAGAATACACTTCCAGTAATTATCTCGAACAATCTTATAGAATTAGAGGAAGATCAGTTGCTAAGGCTACTTAGGGAGCACAAGACAGCAATATGATGGACGATATTAGATATAAAAGGGATCAACCCTTTACTTTGCATGCATAAGATACTGATAGAAGAGGATTACAAAACGTCAGTTGAGCATCAACGCAGATTAAATTTGACTATGCATGAAGTGGTAAAGAAAGAGGTATTCAAACTTTCGGATGCAGGGATCATCTACCCCATATCAGATAGTCATTGGGTGAGTCCAATACAGGTCGTGCCGAAAAAGGAAGGGATCACGGTGGTTCCAAATGAAAACAATGAGCTCATCCCAACACGCACAGTCACGAGTTGGAGAGTTTATATTGACTATCGCAAACTCAACAACGCCACAAGAAATGATCACTTTTCCCTTCCTTTCATTAATCAGATACTAGAGAGACTTGCTAGACATGCGTACTATTGCTTCTTGAGTGGTTATTCAGGGTACAACCAAATTCCTATAGCACCAAATGCTCAAGAAAAGATGACATTTACATGCCCTTATGGCACTTTTGCTTATAAGAGGATGTCATTCGGTCTTTGCAACGCTCCTGCTACCTTTTAGCATTGTATGATATCTATTTTCTCATACATGGTGGGAAATATCATTGAGGTATTTATAGATGATTTATCAGTATTTGGAAAATCATTTAAGAAGTGTCTTGAACATTTGGAAAAAGTGTTGCAACGGTGTGAAGACACGAGCCTTGTATTAAATTGGGAAAAATGTCATTTTATGGTTCGGAAGGAATTGTGTTAGGGCATCTAATTTCAACACAGGGTATTGAGGTGGATAAAGCTAAGATACAAGTCATCGAAAAACTACCACCGTCGATAACAGTAAAGGGAGTCAGAAGTTTCTTGGGTCACGCTGGGTTCTACCGTCGCTTTATCAAAGACTTTTCCAAAATCTCGAAGTCATTATATAATCTATTGGAAAAAAGGGCTCCATTTCACTTTTTTGAGGAGTGCTTAACTGCTTTCAACACTTTAAAGGAAAAATTGGTCTCTACTCCAGTATTGGCTCCTCAAGACTGGGATTATCCGTTTGAGCTTATGTGTGATGCCAGTGATCATGCAGTGGAAGTAGTGTTGGGCCAACGTAAGAAGAAGATTTCTCATGTTATTCACTATGCCAGTAAGACTTTGGACGAGGCTCAAATGAATTATGCTACTACAGAGAAAGAGCTTTTAGCAGTGGTGTTTGCCGTTGATAAATTCGGATCATATTTGATAGGGTCAAAAGTGATTGTTTACACAGATCATTTAGCCTTGAAATATCTAATGAGCAAGAAGAATGCAAAGCCAAGACTTATTCAATGGATACTCCTATTGCAAGAATTTGATTCGAAAATCAGAAATAAAAAGGGGAGCGAGAATGTTGTTGCAGATCACCTATCTCGCCTTAAATCACATGAGTCACACCCTATGAAAGAGATCAACGAAGTTTTCCCAGACGAGATGCTTTTTCAGATCATTGCTACGCCATGGTATGCCAACTATGTAAATTATTGGCTCGCTCCATCATCCCACCGAACTACTCAAGTCATCAGAAGAAGAAATTCTTTAGTGACTTAAAACACTACTTTTGGGATGATCCAATTCTTTACAGAAAGGGTTTAGATCAAATCATACACCGTTGTGTACCAGAAGTAAAGTATCATCAAATGTTGGAATCATGTCACTTTGCACCCTATAGAGGTCATTTCGCAGCAACCAAGATAGCAGCAAAGGTACTACAATCTGGTTTTTATTGGCCTACGTTGTTCAAAGATGCACATTATATTGTAAAAAGTGCCAAAGGACTGTAAATATCTCCAGGAAGAACGAAATGCCTTTAAACGGCATTTTGAAAGTTGAAATATTCAATGTATAGGGCATTGACTTCATGGGACCATTCCCTCCATCCTATGGTCAACAATATGTACAGGTGGCAGTGGACTACATGTCTAAGTGGGTTGAAGCTGTAGCTTTACCAAGGAATAACAACCGAGTGGTAACTTCAATTCCTAAAGAAGAAAATTTTCACTCGATATTGTACCCGAGGGCGATTGTTAGTGATGGTGGAAAGCATTTTTGTAACCGCCTATTTGCTTCGCTGTTGGCCAAATATGGAGTGAAACATCGTGTCTTGATTCTATACCATCCTCAGACTAGTGGGCAAGTGGAAATCTCCAATAGGGAGTTAAAGAAAATTCTTGAAGCTACAATCAATGTATCACATAAAGATTGGACTAAGAAACTAGACGATGCACGTTGGGCATATAGAACGGCATTTAAGACTCCAATTGGCATGTCTCCATATCGGTCGGTATTTGGAAAGGCTTGTCATCTCCCAGTTGAGTTAGAGCATAAAGCATACTGGGCGACACACTTGCTCAGTTTCAATATGAGAGCAGTAGGAGAAAAAATCGTTCTACAACCTCATGAGTTAGATGAGTTTCGTTTGGATTCGTATGAGAATGCAAAGATTTACAAGGAAAAGACCAAAAGATGGCACGACAGGCATATAAGGGAGAAGTAGTTTGAGGTTGATCAGCATTGATGTTCAATTCATGCCTCAAGCTCTTTCCAGGAAAGCTAAAGTCTAGGTGGTCAGGTCCATTTACAGTAGTAGCTATGTTTCCACATGGTGTTGTGGAAGTGGTGTCTCAAGATCAACAAAGGAGATTCAAAGTAAATGGATAACGGTTAAAAGCTTATTGGGGAGGTAACTACTCCAGTGAAAAAACAACCATGCCACTTAATAATGCAGAGTAGTCAGGACAACAAAGTATAACTAAAGACTATAAATTAAGCATTTAATAGGAGACAACCCAGTTTCTATTCCTTATTTATTTTGCTTTCTTTATCGCATTGCATATAGATTTGTTTTAATTATTAGTTTGCATTTGATTTAGGCATGTTTGAATTTATAGAGTATCATCATCCGATCATGTTTTCACGAAACCCTTAAACATAATGTTGGTTATTTCGAGTGTTTGGACTAAGTAACGCATTTTTAGATTATTTGATCTCTAATGTTTGATTTGATTGTTATATGCAGAAACATGACGTCGTGAAACACTCAAACCAACATCGACCAAGGGGAAAGTATCATGAGAAAGATTATCTAGCTGTCACCTACATTATCTTTCATGTTTAATAGAAAAATTCGGGGAGTACCTTCATCCTTTTCTTCCCTATCCCCTTATATTCTTAATTATGTTTTAAGACATTGAGGACAATATCTCGTTTAAGTTTGAGGGTTGAAAATACTTTGTGTTTTTGGTTTTCATAAGTTTTCGTGCGTTGTTTACGTATGTTTAATTAAAAAAATTTAAAAATCGTTAAATTTTATATTTTATATTTGTTTATTTTTTATTGTGTGCTTGTGTGGATTGGACAGTTTGACCGACAATAATGATTAAATTTGAGATTTGGTGTTAAATTATGAACTGTGGATAGGAAGCATGCTAAATTGATTGAAATTTAAACTTACAAAACTTGATATTAGATGCGCACTAGAACTGAGTTTGACATTTTGATGAAATGAGTTGATTTATACATTTGATAGATTGATTTAGCTGGACATAGATGATTTACCCAAAACAATACTAATTATTTATCCGTAAACCAAATTTAGTACAATTTGGAGAGATCTTACTGTTGTAGGACGATACGGATGTAAATGTAGATTCCTTGTGTGAAAAATTTTGTGTGGATTGTCTGAAATTAATAGAATAAAATTGGGTGAAAGTCTTAAATTGGAGGTCGGTTTGCTTGAATAGGTGTGTGATAAGGGGCATTGCACTAATCAAAGCATATATTTATAAATTTAAAATTTATCTTTGGAATCTTTAGGACTCGAGTAATTAAGTCTGCAAGTGTATCTTAAAACTTGGTGCCCTAAAGTCATCTGACTTGGGAGTCATCGGCCTAAACCTTATTACAAAGGTCATTTAAAAACAATCAAAGATGAAATTATTCTAAAAAATTGTTCTCTTCGAAACCTTTTTGACTCGGATTATTAAGTCTGTAAGGGTATTTGAAAACCTGGTGCCCTAAAATCATTTGACTTGAGAGTCATCGGCCTAAAGCCTGCTAAATAAGTCATCTAGAAAGTTTAAGGGGGAGTGAAAAAAAGGAAAAAAAAAAGAATTAAATGTCTTGTAAGTCCCAACACTTGTTCAAGAAAATTCGACTTTCGATAAAGGATAATTAGCCTAATTGAATCTTAGCACTCGAAGCAATCAAATAATTTGAGAATCCTTTTTCAATGATGTGTTAACTTGCAACTAGTGATGTCCACCTGAATTGGAGAGGTGAGGATAGTAATAAAAATTCAATCTTAAATCACAGATTGGAAAAAGAGTGAAAAAGAATAAGTTTGGGGTGTGTGAATCTTACGAGAGGTGAAAGAATGTATTTGACCATAGAGGGTCGAGAATTGGAACAACTTGTAAATTTATTAATGTTAACTTAATTCTTCACACACACGCGTCAATTTTGTATTGGAGAAGTGGATATTAGTTTGATATTGTGACTTTGAAGCAGTTTGTAGATTTAGTACCGTGATTTCAAATCCTGAGGTAAAAAGTTAAGCGGTCCAACCAAATATTTGGCATGTTTGTGTGCTTATTGTTATTTACGTTATAGTTTTGTTCGAGAACAAACAAATG